CAGCGCTCTTCCCTCACCTTTCCCCCCTACCCTCCCCACCCTTTCCCCCCGGACTTCCCCCCCACCTTCCCCCCGCCTACCGTAGCCAGCGCTCTTCCCTCACCCTTCCCCTACCTTTCCCCCACCCTTCCCCCACCCTTCCCCCCCCACCCTTTCCCTACCCTTCCCCTCCCCTCCCCTCCCCTTCCCCCCCCACCTACCGTAGCCGGCGCTCTTCCCTCACCCTTCCCTCCCCCTACCCTCCCCCCTACCCTTCCCCCCACCTACCGTAGACGGCGCTCTTCTCGTACTCGGAGGCGAAGTAGAGTCCCCTCCCGAAGCTCCCTCCGAGTGCGGCAGAAGTCTGAGCCCCTCCCGGAGGATTCGTCCGACGCACCACGGCTTCGTCCCGTGCCAGAGCAGCTTTCGGTTCGGGAGGCCAGCGTGGGGCGCGAATCTGAGGGGGAGAGGGAGGGATGGAGAGGGAGAGAGAAAGTGGGGGAGGGGGGGATGGAGGACATCGTGGGAGAGAGATTAGAGAGAGAGAGAGATAAAGAAAGAAAGAAAAGAGAGAAAGACAGATAGGGATAGAGAGAGAGAGAGATAAAGAAAGAAAGAAAAAGAGAAAGACAGATAGGGATAGAGAGAGAGAGAGAGAGAGAGAGAGAAAGAGGGGAGGGGGGTGGAAAAAAAAGCAATGAAAAAAAAAGAAAGAAAGAGAAAAAAAAAGAAAGAAAGAAAAAAAGACCGACAGCAAAAAAAGGAGTTCCTAAAAATCGTATTTCCTTTGAATTATCCTCTTCCCTTTACACCCCACTTTCGCTCCTCCTTACCTTTCCTTCTCCCCTTTGCGGTTGACCCTCCAAAGGTTCACAATACGCCTCCTATATGTGGATTTCGAAGCTGTTGCGTACTCCCTGATCAGCTGTGAAAAAAAGACATAGGTCAATAATAATTAGGTCATAGGTCAATAAGGTCAATAATAATTAGGTCATAGGTCAATAATAATTAGGTCATAGGTCAATAATAATTAGGTCATAGGTCAATAATAATTAGGTCATAGGTCAATAAGGCCAGTAGGTCAATAATAATTAGGTCATAGGTTAATAGGTCAATAATAATTAGATCATAGGTCAATAAGGTCAATAGGTCAATAATAATAATGTATCATAATCACTGACTTCCATTATAATAACATCCATTCTGGTTATAACTGATCAAAACAACCCATGATTAAAGTAGCTTACAGGTTATAACTAATCAGAAGGTTTTTCCAGTTGGTTAAAATTGTGTAAGGTCCGACCCAATTAATATTCATATATGCGAATATGCACATACACAGAAATAAATGCATATCTATCTATCTGATTTTTATACATTTATCTATATCTATCCGGCAGATATGCAAGTTTAGACTAATAGCCTAGATCTGTATTCATATATGTGTACATCTTGTGTTCAAGAATACAATCCCATAGTAAGTCTCAAACTTGAAAATACATATAACTTTTAATCATTCCATCTTGATTATTAACTGTCTATTTAGTTCATTCCCTTTATTCTCTGCATTTCTATATTTTCCCCCATTATTTTCTCTATTTTTATTTTTCATTCTCTTTATTCTGTTTATTTCTTTCTCTTCCCTAATTCTATCTATTGCCCATACCTCTTTCTCTTTAGTCTACCTATTTGCACATGTTCTTCCCATTATTCTAACAATTCAGCATCTCCTCTTTATTCTATCAACTGCAGTTTCTCTCCTTCGCTCTATCCATTTTTTTATAGTCCCCCTCCCCTTAGTTCTCTCCTTTCCTACATTTTCTTTATTAAGTCTTTTAAAAACACTTTAAATTACGTACACCACTCCTTCCATTCCCTCCCACATTGTCTCCCTTTTATGAAATATCTTATAAGAATATTTGAATAAAGTTTCATTAGATTTAGACTATTTTTTTTATTCAACAATTCTTTTAAAAGTGCTCACGGGTCCCTTAAAACCACCTTATATTCCGGAGAGTTCTTGCACACGAGTTGCAGGTCGCACTCCAGCTGATCGTAGAGAACCCGCGTTGGATGCACGGCCGGGGTCAGCTGAGGGAGGGAGGGAGGGAGGGGGGGGTGTTACTTTCACCAACATCATTATAAGGATTGTTTTATTGGCGATAATCATGATTATGATACTGTTGATGATGATGATGATGATGTGATGATAATAATAATAATAATGATAATAACAACAATGATAATGATAATAGTAATGGTAATGATAATAATAATAATAATAATAATAATAATAATAATAATAATAATAATAATAATAATGTTTATAATAATAGTAATAATAACAATAATAATCATAATAATAATAATAATAATAATAATGATAATGATGGCAATGATAGTGATAATAAAAATGATAATGATAGTAATAACAATGACAATAATAATGACTATAATAATAAAAATAATAATAATGAAAATAGTAATGATAACATTATTAGCAATGATGATAATGATAATG